ACATTCCTTCTACCTTTGTTTTATTGAAAAATTGTAGTGTGAATTGTCATTCAATTTTGTCAAATGTTCTTTGCATTTAATAATATGGTCATGTGCTCTTATCTATCACTTTGTTAATGTGTGTCAGATTGATTTTCCTGTGTTCAATAATCTTTGATCACAGAAATAAATCACACTTGGTCATGGTATATGATCCTTGTAATGTGTTAGTGACTTTTATTTGCTAGAATATTATTTTTCTCTTAATTTTATGTAGTTATTTTAAGCAATTATTTATTCTGACAATGTTGTACATGTAAATAACCCATTTGGATCATATTCGCCCCTTCTCCTCTCTCTCTCTTAAACCCTCTTGCTCCCTCTGCAGCCCTTCCTTACAACATTTCCTTCTCCTACTGTTATATAATATATACATACACATAGATATATCCCTCCAGGTGTAATTAGTGTGACTTGCATATGCATGGGTATGGTGTTATTTACTAAATTATGGGAAACTTAGCAGTGGTTGCACCCTTGAAGAAAACTTATTCCCTCTCCTCCAGCAGTATTTACTGCCAATAGCTCCTCAATTAGAAGTAGGAAATTTGCTAGTACATTACTGAAGGGTTTTGCATATATGTTTATTAAAGTATCAGTATGATGATGAATTACACATTATGTTTACAAATATACCCTCCTTTCTACTTTAAGAAGAGTTTGAGAAAGATCTGTATTTGCATTTTTGTTTCTTTGTTTTTGTTTGTTGGTTGATTGGTTTTTTTTTTGGGGGGGGGGAGACTGGGTTTCCCTGTAGCTCCAGCTGATCTGGAACTTGCTATGTAGACCAGGCTGCCCTCAATCTCACAGAGATCCACCTGCCTCTGTCTCCTAAGTGCTGAGATTAAAGGCATGTACCACTAGGTATTTATTCTTTAAAAGTTTGGTAACTTGTTTTTAACATACTAAAGAAGATACTAAATAATTACAAAATATAGTGTTTACAGGGTGATTTTTAGGTATTAATATAATGCATAATGACTCTGCACCTTTTTTAAAGTACTGTCTTAGGTTCTGCACAAAATTCGAGGTTTCGTTTCTTCTAGGTTAGACCACAGAAGTCTTCAATCTTTTTAATTTCAGACAGAAAATTCAAGATACCAAGAAGAATCATTTTATTACTATTCTATAGATTGCATAATAAGAAAAAAATTAACTGAAAACAGCAGGTGTTTTGGTCTTCTACTGAGAATAGGAAAAATATCCTCTAAAATTTTGATAAATTACATATAGCAACAACCATATGAGTCAAGTATTGTTATCAACAACCTTAGAGAAACTGAAATTCAGAGGCAGTCAGTAATTGCTTGAGGTCTCACATCTGTAATCTGGAGCCCTTGATTTCAGTACTGTGTGTTCTTCCTGTTCACAGAGATGCCATTCAACCATGAGAAGTCCTTGTGTTTCGCAGCTCTTCCGTTTGTATGTACTGTACCTTGTTAGTTCTCTGCCTTTCCTTTTTACACTGAGATCTGACTGGGAGTGCAGGATGAGACCAAGCACTTCAGGGCCTTCAGCTGCTATAAGCCTCAGTGCTCCCCTAAGCTCTCCCAGAATAAAATAAGAAGATACAAGTTGCTATCTCCTTTAATCCCCCACGTTCCAGTGTCCAAGGATTTGTTCTGGATTGTCACGAGCTGAGAGATGAGTTTGCAATAAAAATACAGAGTCAGGACTTGTTACATTTGATTTTTTCTCAAGCTTAGTCCTCTTAGTCAGTAAAAATGGGTTTAGGATGGAAATCAAATTGATGGTATGACTATAAGGGGTTTTCCTACGACTTCTTGAATATTTAAGTCATAATTCATGACTATCTCAATTAGACAAAAGATTTCTAATTATCTTTAAAGCATAGTCTCACAGAATGCTTATTCTCAAAGCAGCAAGAAAGACACATGAGGACAGAGAAGATCTTTAAAAGTTATATGATGACTTTAAATGTAAGTGTATTAAAACTGACATACAGAAAAGCAAAAATAAAAGATTAGAATGTAGCAGCAAAAGAGCTGCTACCATTGGTTAAAAGAGTCAGATATTGGTCAAATTGTTTTGAAAGATTTCTGGTTCCCTGATTTTCTCCCATCAGTCTAAGGAAACCACTCAGTTCCTAACACAACCACTTTTTTTCCTAATAAAAGCAGGAGATGCTTTTAGCCAAGAACATAAGAGTATAGTTATAAGTCATTGAAGAGCTGCAAACTATTGATAGCAGCGGAACTGAGAATCATTTCTATTAAGGAACAAAGTACCCTAGCCTGGGGAGCTTCTATCAGGGAACAGTGTAATGTCTTAATCTTGGAACATTCTCTGCCTCAAAGATGGGACAACTGGCAATGTGTTCCCATGTGAAATTTCAGAATTGTTACACAGGAGTAACAGCTGAATTCTGTTCTTTCACTTTGGGAGTGGAAGTGTCCTCAGTTGTTTTCTATTGCTGTGATAAAACACTCTGATCAAAACCACCTCGAGGAGAAAAGGGTTTATTTGCTTTCCACAGTTACACAGTTACCTGGATCGTAGTTCATCACTGAAGGAAGCCAGAGAAAGCACTTGGGGAAGTACAGACCATGGAGGGATGCTGATTCCTGGCTTGCTTTTCTGCTCAGCCTGCTTTCTTATATGACCTAGGACTACAGGTCCAGGGGCAGACCACCTACAGTGGTCTGAGCCCTCTCACATCTCTCAACAATCAACAAAATGCCTCAGAGACATGCCCACAGGCCAGTCTCATTGAGGAAATTTCCCAATTGACGGTCACTCATCCCAGATGCGTAAAGTTGACAACTGAAGCTATTCAGCACAGGAACGGTCTGTTGCACTCTATGTGTGTTTCAGGACTCTATGAAGATCTTGAGAAGGTAACATTTCCCTTTTCGTCTTCAGATTTTAGATCAAGAAGTGTCATATCTGAACCAAAATCAGGCACAAAGACTTAATGCTGCAATTAGATAAGAATTTTGGCATCCCAGCATAATAATAATAAACATGTGGGATATGTATTGTAGAAAGCCAAACTGGGCACATTTCTTCTCATTTCTGTAGTCATACCTCTGCCACGTGACTTCAAATAAAGACAGAAGTTGCTTCTCAAATCTGAGTTGGTATTTTAACTTTTTCTGCCTAATGTAACATTAACAAACATGTATCCAGCAGAGGCAAAAGCACTGCTTATCCTTTGCGGACTTATCTCTCTTGCTGTTTTTAGGAAGCTTTATGTAAAGAAACCCAGATGGTCACTCCAATAAAGTCCTGCCAACTATCATAAGTATGCAGCCCCTCTTACAAAAAGCGCTGTCTTATCTGATGAGTCTAGCTTACCTATGGAAGATAAGATTGGATATACATCATTTGTTATGCATCACTTCCCCCTTCTGAACAGGTAGCCCATACATATATCAGCAGTTCAATTCTGAGTTTTTCATGCTGTGACTCAGACAGAAGCAGGTTGGTACTTCATTTAGGAAAAGTAACCATGATATGGTTTTGAGTAGAACACAATATGTCTCTAAGTCATACATTCATGAAGAAATACACCATGTTGTCTGCCAACCTTATATTTATATATAATAAGAGATATTTTATCTGGTCTGTACCTTATCCTCATTTCTGACTGGTTTGCTCAGAGTTTATAAGGAGAAGGCTGGTATTATATAGTCTCATAAATCTCAGCAATGAAGATGAGACCGCATGTCACACTTCTCTACACGTTATTAAAATTAAAGAGAAGATAGTGATTCACACATGCATGATGGTGTAGATATTAAATATCATCAGTCATGACTGTTAAGTAATAAAAATCAAAACGGATTCCTTTCACAAAAATAGCTGTGAGGGCTTTTACGTATGTATTTCTAGAAATGAATAAAGTATATATTATATTATATGAATATGATCCTGGAAGGTAAGAATATATAGTATAATTTCTTTTCTCGAAGAAATAATTAAGTTTCTCACCTTTGTTTGTTTGCTCCTATCCAACACAGCACTTATTCAACAGTGTCATTGTCATTGCTCATTGGTTACAATTACATATAATTCTGTTACTTACTGCTTGGGAAAAGCATCCTATTTGTCTGGAGACAGAGTCTTCAGAAAAAAAGAAAAAAGGATAAGAAAGGAGAGTGACACGAGTAAATATGAGTAGTCATTGGCTGTGTGTCATTATTAGTGAGATATATCAGTCAGAAGTAGTTACTTGTCTTCCTAAGTCTATGCTGGTCTTCAGTATCCATAACACTGTATAATGGAAAAATGTATCTATTGGAGAACAAAAGAAAAAGATGGCTTGTCACAATTTGGGCTAGACACTAGCCTTATCTTGATTACCTGTCCTATATATGTATCCTTAGATCAAAGACCTAATTGCATCTTATTTCATGTCTGTTATGAGTATTCAACAAAGATATATATATATATATCATTAATTTCATTCAATGTTTTAATAGTTATCATAAGCCTGTGCTTACAACTTCTTAGACCTGGTCGAACTTAGATATATTTCATGGCAAAATAGCAAGAAAAGAAAATGCACTTTAGAACACACCTAATGACACCCCAGACAACAGAGTTTACTAGTTATATCTAGGCAATTCTCAAGAAGTGGAAGAGCCCCTGGGTGCTCAAAGCATCTGCCTGCTGGCCTGCTTTGCTGGCACTCCTGGCTGGCTGACTCTGCTGATCCTGCAAGCCAAGGGATTATTAGATTTACCACATGCCCTCTGCTTTTGTTTCCTTGTTTTTGTTTTGTTTTGGGGTGGAGATAGGAAAGTTGACTGGGGCCCCAGAGATCTATGAGGGGAAAAAATAAAAGGAAAATGAGGAGGGGAGAGAAATTTGCAGTGATGGGTAGTTTCTAATGTGTAAGTCAAGAGACATTGTAAGAGTCTGATTCTGGCAGAAGCAAACTGACAATGTGGGTTAACAATAAACCACAGGCATGCCAGGATAACAGCTCCTGAAAGATGTCTCTAAATTACATCAAGAACTTCTGTGAAGGATGTGTAAGTAGCAAACAAGAAAATCAATTGTATGACTTTTTTTTTGTCTGTGTATTTTAACTTGATTTGCGTGAGTGTTGATGAATAAGTTCCTCTAAATTTATGGACAGCAAATAAAAATCATAGACTGTCAAATATCCTGAATTTAAAATTATAAATAAACTCTAGAACTACTTTCATCCATTGATTAAAGTACTCCTAATTTGGTATTAAGAAGTAGAAAATAAACTTGCCATAACTAAACATTGTTTTGTCGTTAAGATGGTGTGTGTGAGTATTGATTTTTCAACTAACTTTCCGAAAGAGACATTGGATAGTCTAAGATTTTCATGGTTTTATTTCAGAGGGATTACAAGAGGAATTGAATTGAATTTAAAACTGTTTAAAGTATTTCTACAATTGCCCAATTGATTGGCAATATATGCCTGTTTGTCTATTGCATTTTGTAACTTAAGATTTAAAAGGCATGAGAAATTTGATAATGCGGGGTTTATATTGGATTTGATAATCTCACAGTGTCTATTTTACTTCAAACCTTTTCAAATCTTAACATTGTAAAACTGTGATCATTAAAACATCCTTTAAAATGTCATCTTTTAATGTTTGTCTGTTTTTAACCAATCCCGCCCCTCAACAATCATAAGTTAAACCTCCAACAATTCCACACTCCCTTCTTTGGATCTCTGTGAATGTTCTTCCTTGGAGCATTAGGCTTTGCAGTTTATGGAAATGAGGCTTTGCACTTCAGCTGTGACCGAGGACAAAAGAGATAAATCTCTTCTGTTACAATCAGTTCAGGCCAATAACTCCCCAAGTAAGTTTTTTAATGTATATACAAACTGACTCCACAACAGATACAGTATTGTTGTCTATATTTTTGAGAAGTATATCTTTAATTGATTTTGTATTTCCGACAAAATAATTTGAATTGATTAGAAATGCCTCCCAACACTCAGAGTTCTATTATCTATTGGTGTATTTAGAATACAGAAAGTAGGTAGATATTAACATCAATTAGTTTATTAGTATCTACGGATAGACAATGAAAGTAAAATGTGGTCATGTTTTCAACTACCATATGTTTAAAGCTCTAAGTATCTTAGTAATAAAATGAGATGTGCCAACATTACTAGGTTTATTGTATTTTTATTATTTATAAGGTATTTTGAAATTTGTAATTTTTAAATTAGCATCTGCCGAATCCATGAATTTTTAGGTTTTTTTTGTGACACATGTTGCTCATCTGTTTGACTAAGATATTTCTGATATTTTAGGTATTCTGGGCATTACAGCTAGTGATTGTCTTGCTTCCTGGAGCTATTTTCCACCTTTATACTGCATGTAAAAGCATCAACCAAGAATGCATTCTTCAAAAGCCCATGCATACTATGATTTATATCCTCTCAGTCTTACTAAGAATTAGTCTAGAGGTGATCGCATTTTGGCTTCAGATCCACCTCTTTGGTTTCCAAGTGAAACCTACTTACTTGTGTGATGATGGATCTCTTGGTTAAAAGAAACTATTATAAAATGCATGGTTCCAGAACACTTTGAAAACACTATTTTTCTCATTGCAATGTATAAATTTACTGTAATCACAATGGTATTGTGTGTTGCTGAGGGTTTTTAGATCATTTTTAGAAGACTTTTCTCTTTAAACAATGACAAGGATTGGTTACCTATTATCATGCCATAGTTACCTATCTATCAGTCATTCATATTCAGTTTCATCTTATCCATCAAGTACCTCAATTTCATATGTTCTTTACATTTTGGCATGTCTGAAGTTTGTGTGCACTAGAAAATATGATACCATGAATTTTTGATCAAATACTTCCTTGTATTTTAATCTTATCACTTTTAAAAATAACAATGTGTATGTAGAACTAATGTTAACTCATTTTAAAAGTGCAATTTTACAGGCTTCTCTAACATACAGCATCTTAACTGCCTGTAGTATTTTGTGGCCAGAGAAACTTATTATCTCTGTTACAGAATGGATACTGATGCTCAGAGATGCCTCTTTATGTGCCTTAAGTCATCCATCCAAACCAGAATCTAGTCTTACCTATTTTCCTTTCCACTGAACTATGCAGCTTTAACTTTGAACTTAATTATCTTCACATTTGTGTAAAATATAACTTAAAACACAAAACATATCAAGTAATTATTAAAGAGCAGTTCAGTTGTTTGATCACTAACTTAAATAAACAATCGCATTCTTAATATTAAACTCATATTGTTTCCCTGAAATTTTAAATTTAAATGATTATGAAGATATAGCTATCAAATAAACTGCTATGGAAAAATATTGTGCATGGCTTCCCTATATCTTGTTATTCCCATATATCCAGTAACAATAACTTCCATATTTAAAATTATTGAAATAGAAAATTTGGTTTCTATTAAGCTACAATTTCTCAATAGCTATGAAATTGTTACATGGGTAATTTTATGTAAATTAAGTGCATTTCTTTCTATCTACCCATATTATCATCTTCACTTTATATAATTTAAAAATCTTTATGCCAGGGCTGGAGAGATGGCTCAGCAGTTAAAAGCACTGGTTGATCTTGCAGAAGACCCATATGGCAACTAACAGCTCTTTGTAACTCCAGTTCCAGGGGATCCAACACCCTTTTCTGGCCTTTGTATTCTGAAATTGATTAAGCACTGTTTATCTTATGTCTGATATGATGAAATTCTACATTTAGAATTTTAAATCATTGAGCTTGGTCCACATGAAAGTACAGAAGGAAATCAAACCTTGTTTCATTCAACAAGTGGCTATTGAGGACCTATTATTTAATATGTACTACATTTAGAGTTCAAGTTTTAAAAATTAAATTCAAGTACCCTATAAGATCACTTTGATGGGTGGTCCAGTGGCTTACTAAGACAGTGATGACTAGTGTAATAACCCATCACTCTGAAAAGAAAGAATATTTGTTCAGTTATTACTTAGAATCATTGGCCCTTGGTATTACTAAGCATGAATTACTAAGCATATTTAATCTTGTAATACTTTATTTATATTTTTACAGCTAAGATACTCCTTTGCTGCTTACATCCAAGGTAGACAATCTCCACCATTAGTCCCACCAACACACAGGTCATCTGGGTTCATATTTTATGTCTTTCACTTTGCCTGGATGCAATACAGCATTTTCTACCCATATTCTCAAATTTTGTTCTGGAAAATTGTGGAATTTCTCAGAAATAGATGCTTGATTCAGGTTCCTACAAAGCTTTGTTAAGTGAGATCAGTATAGTCCCTACTGCAGGACTACTTTTGCTCTGTTAAGAAGGCAAAGCCTTTTGAGGGCTCTGTGGATTAGCAAATTACCTTTCTATCACTCGCCAAATCTTGATTTCTGGCCTCACCCTGAGAGAATCTATTCGCAGTCCTATGTGAATTTGGGGTACTGTTCCTTAAAAGCCTTCAAGTAGTTCTTTTCCTGTATGTACATTTTAAGGTGCTACATAAGTAAAGACTCAGTTGAAAAACTGCTCCAGACATCTGAAATGATCTGCTTTGTCCACTGTCCCCTCAACTTCACCATATCCTTTAAACTCTAGCCACCTTGGAGTTCTTGGACTCTACCTCCGACACTAACAATATAGCAGGCTGCATCTCTAAGCCACTGAAAGCACACTTCCTTCCCTCTACTTTTTAAGTAAGCAGTGATGATACAGTTTGAACATGTCTTCCAATGTTTATATGTTAGAAACTTAATCCTCAAGCCAATTGTTTATCTGAGAATCCTGCATTCCCTCCAGGGAATGGTTCAATATCAGAAGACTGAGTTTGTTGTGAAAGTAAGTTTAGCCCACTCCTCCTCTCACTCTAAACATGTGATGTCCTCTGCCACGGTATGGTACCATTAGACTCCTCTGTAGATACCATTCCTTTTTACCTGAACTTCTCAGCCTCTGGAATTATAAAATATAAATTAATTTTCTTTGTAATTTCTCCAATCTGTAATATTCTGTTACAGCAAAACAAAACAGAGTAAATATATATTATTATATTTAAAGATATGTATAAGGTAAGAATTTCTTGGATGCCTCTTTACTTACTGACCTATTGTTCTATCATTTCATTTTATTAGTTCTACATCAAGATTATTAAGGCAAAGCTATATTATTATGGATAGTAACAGCTATATATAAAATTCAGATTCAAATATAAAAAATCTTTTTCTCACCTAAATGAAAATATAGCAGCAATTAATAAGAATACCTGGAGAGACTGCTCAGCGGTTAAGAGCACTGGCTGCTCTTACAGAGGACCAGGTTTCAAATTCCAGCACCCATTTGGAGGCTAAAAACTGTAACTCCAGTTCCAGGGAATCTGGCGCCCTCTTCTGTCCTCCGTGGGCATTGCATGACACAGGTGCACTTGTGCAAATAATTCCTTTGTTTAAAACTAAACAAATACCTAACTATGAAACTATATTTTTAAACTGTTTATAAAATTCTTTTATATCAAATAGGTAATTTGAACTGGTTTATTAGATCTTAAATGAATAAAAGTCAGATTATTCCATATAGAAACCCATAAGCGAGAACTAAACTTATAATGCACAGAAAAACACACCTAAAAATACATCAATCATTAACAAAACACTACAAAAGTATTTCAAGAGCACACATAAAAACTTCAAAAGAAAAGCAACCTTCAAAATAAAACTAAGAACAAGAATAATTTAATAAGGAAACAAGCATCTATAAATTAAAACACAATGTAGACTAGATAAATAAATCTAAAACAGGCAGGTAAATTAATAAAATATATGAATATCTGATAAACCAAACCAAATGTACACACTTACTATTGTAACATTTATATAACATAAGTAAAGTTGTATATTATGATTTAAAGTATACTATGATAATTTTAAAATATCTTGCAGATATACTATAAAATGTAAGAACAACAAAAATTTTGATTAACAATACAACTAAGAAAATTAAATGGAATAATAAAAAAATTCAATAGATTCTACATGTTGCAAAAGAAAAAAGAACAGAAACAGATGAGACAAACAAAACAAGGTTATGGACTTAAACCCAAATATGTCAATAGCTACAGCAGCCATAAAAGGACAGAGGTTATTTAAGTGTGTGTGTCTCTGCATGTGTGTGTGTGTGTGTGTGTGTGTGTGTGTGTGTGTGTAAGTCAGACCAAATTATCAATGACAACTCCATTTCAAATACTTCTACATATTTAAAGATTGAACATTCAGAAGACTTAAATATTTATGACCACATAATAAAAACTGAAAAAGACATGCAACTAAGCACCAGCAGTCACAAGCGGCTATATTAATATAAGAAAACCCAAGTAAGGAAGAAATAACGGCATGGGTTGAAGATGTGTTTCCTAATAAACTTTAACTGCTTCTGGAAAGATAATAGCCCTAATGTGTATTCCATCAGTCACAGCATCAGAAGCAAAGATAAAAACAAATCAAATTACAGATGAAGATTTCAGCACTTAGAAGTAGGTAATTGAAAAAGTAAATGATATTAGAAAGGACATAGGGGAATTAAGTGTTACTAATAAGCAACTTGAACTAACATTTATAGAACATTCCACCCAAGAGTAGAATAATATATTGCCTATTCAACTGTTATGTGGATAATTTACAGAGGCCATTTGGTAAGACATAAGAAATTCTCAAAGACTTAAAGCATACAGAGTGTATTTTCTGGTCACAACTGAAGCCAACTACAAGTAGAAATAATGAGCTAAGCAAATGTCTAAATGTTTGAAAAGTCAATGTTAAAAATTTTATTTGGATAGGAAACTAAAAGATACTTCATACCAAATGATAATGAAAAAAGAATGTATCTAAATTAGTGAAAAGAACTAAAGCCAAGAATTAAAACATAAAACATAAAACAGAGGGTTCTAAATATTATGTTTGAAAAAATATAAGACAGTTTAAGCTTCTTACCTTAAGAAATTAGCAAAACAAACAGTTAAATAAAGAAATTAATAGTCATCTTTATACTCCCTTCCCCACTGGCACCCTCCCATAACCGCCCCCCTCGCACTGTAATTCATACATTCCTATTATGTCAAGTTTGTGTTCCCAGACGTTCTTCAGTGCAAATTCATCCACTGAGGTCTAGTCAGCTTATCAAGAGTCTCTCCCTTTAGGAAGATCAGCTCTTCCTCACCCAGTAGTAATCAGTTGTCAATATTTCTTCAGCTAAAATTGGGGTCTGCTGTCCATTTCCCCAGTTCTATGCTGGGTTTTTGTCTGTTTGAGTTTGCACTGGTCCTGTGCATGCTAACACCACTGAGATGTTCTGTATGAAATACACAAAATTTCAATTTTAAAAATTTGCCTTAAAAATATGATCATGAAATAAACACAAGAAGACAAAATTTAATTGGGTAAAATTTAGTAAACTATAAACCTATCTAGTGGGGATTCATAATGTATTAATTCCCATGACTCAACAAACCAAATAACTCTATTAAAACATGTGCAAATGACACGAATGTATTTCTCTACAAAAGAAAAACAAAGAATCAAGCACATGAAACATAGAAACATGAAATCTAAAGGTAAATGAAAAAGGCGCTAAACAAAAGGATGATTCTTTAAAAGTTTAATAAAACTAATAAGGTTTTAGTTAGACAGTCCAAGGTGATACAAGAGAAACAGAAAATTATGCATATAATAAATAAAAAGGATAGTACATTAAAATGATCATAAAGGTACTTGAAGAATGTAATAATTTTATACTTAGATGAAATGACAAATTTCCTGAAAAATATATTAATTAATCAAGAGAAACTGATAAAACACATAGAAAATACAAATATACCTAAATCTACTAGATAAACTAAAATTCAAATCTTCCTCATGAAGAAGTCTAGATCCAGATGATATCTCTGGTGGTCATTTCATCAAATATTTAAGGAAGAGATAATATTACAAAATCTTATTAAGAATGAAAAGAAAAAGTTTTCCCCACATTGAGTAAGAGCAAATGTAGGAATGATTAGAAAATATTTTCCATTTTGCTTAATGAGACAAGCATAATTTTGGTATAAAAATTCCTAGGAAAAATATATTAGCAAAGGTAATCCAGCTACTTATGTACAAATAAAACACGTCCAAGTTGGCTTTATCCTGGAAATGAAAGATTGTTTTAACACTTGAAAGTCAACTGATGTAATTGAACTGTATTTTTAAAATAAAGGATGAAAACCACATCGTCATCTTAACAAGTGCAGATAAAGGCATTCGGTTAATGTTTACAGTCATTTCCAGTCGAAAAACAAAACTAAGTCTGGATTACCTAAATTTGATAAAAAGTATGTAATGAAATATTTCTAAGTACCCCCCAAAAATGAACAATTTTCTTCATGGTCTGGGCATAGGGAAAAATTTGCACTTTTACTACTTTGGTCACATTTGAACTGTAGCTGATTAGGAGAAGGATAAATATGTATATATGCTCAATGATTTATTCAGTAAGTGCAATAAAACAAAAAAGAAAAGATATGCAGATTAGAAAAGAAGAATCATCTCTATTGACAGATATAATCATGTACATAGAAAATTCTTTAAAATACACAAAAACTACCAGAATAATGAAATACATCCAAGTCAACATTGTTTTATAGTAATAAAGTACTTGATTTGAATTTGTAAAAATATTTTTATTTATAATATACTCAAGAACCATAAAACACATAGGAAAAAATTTAGCGCATATTTGCTGGACATGTACAATAAAAACTATGCAATAGTCCTGAAAGAAACAATAACAGAAAATTGAGCATATCAGGCCATGCATGTTTGGTAGCCTTAATCACTTCAATCTTCAATTACCTCAAATTGATCTTCAAACTCCATACAATCCCAGGCAAAATCTCAGTGATTTTTGTAGAAATTTGCAAGTGATTCCTAAATTTTATTATTGAAATCTAAAAGAAAGCACAGGCTTGAATCCTGTTCATGAAAGGGACACTTGAACAAGAGAGTTAGGAAAAATTCGTCATGTCAAAGCCAGCAACCCCTTAATACTAATAGAGGAAGGAAAGAACAAACTAACCAGAAAAAGAAGAAAACACAGGAATTAGCAAATCCTTCTCAATAATAAGCTGAAGTTCAAATGACTCCCCATTTAAAAATGCAGACTGGGTGGCTGGATTAAAGATTTAGGGGCTGAAGAGATGACTCAGCAGTTAAGAGTGGGTTCTGATCTTCCAGAGAACCCAAATTCAGTCCCAGCACCCACAGCAGGCAGCTCACAACAACCTGTAACTCTAGCTCCAGGGAATCCAATACCCTCTTCTGGTCCCTTTGAGCATCCACACATACACAGATAAACTATCTTAAAAAAAAAAAAAAGGCCAACAGCTATTTGTTCTATCCAAAAAACACCTCTCTGGAAAAGTCAACCAGAAATTGAGACACAGAGGATGTTAGTAACCCTACTAAGTAGATGGGAAACAAGTACATGTGGTGTAGTTATTCTGATATCTGACAGACTTCAAACCAAAATTAATCCAGATCAGAATCAATCCAGATAAATAACGGTATTATGTACTGGAAAGGAGAGAAAGAATTGGTATCACTGGGGTAGAGAGATGGCTCAGTGGTTAAGAGCACTGGCTGCTCTTTCAGATGACCCGGGTTGAATTTCCAGCACCCACATGGCAGGTAACCATCCATAACTCCAGTTCCAGAGGATCCAAGGCCCTCTTCTGACTTCAAGGGCATTGCATGCACATAGTGCACATATATCCACCTAGGCAAAGCATTCATACATATAAAAATAAATAAATAAATTTAAAAACTACATAAATAGAATTAAAATAGGATAATGTGCAATGTGTGGTGTATGTACATGCAGGCAAAATACTCATACATACAAAATGAAAATAAAATTTAAAAAATTTTTAAAGAATTGGTATCATTGATAGAAGAAAAAGCTGGGGCATACTGTAAATGGACATGATTCAGAAGTATTAAGTCTTTGACACTCTCTTTTAGCAAGTATTAAGATGATGTGAAAATTCTTTTGGAAAATTTTTTTCCAAATTCTTCATCATCCTTTGTGTCTAATTAAACCTGCATATTATTTGTTCTCTATAAAATATACTAGCCAGATCAGAGCAAAGTCCAAATCCACTGATGCTCATATGTCTAGTACTTAATTTTGGTGATTTAATTCAATGTATCAACATGTAAATTCGTAATTTAAAACTTAAGCATAGTACTTCTCATGCAAGAATTAAAATTAAAGTTTCTAAAATCAAACAGGTGGCTGTCTCCAGTTCCAAATTTCCTCATAGGAGTGTTCCCATTGTTTTAGAAAGACTGCAAGGTGAACTTGTTTGTGAACGTTTATAAAATTTTATTGCACAAATAATTTGTGTTATTAAAATTACCTTACAAAGATATGTGGCTTATGAGCCAGCTATGAGCAAACTAATCCTTCTAGGGGAAGGCTGAAGCAATGAATTTCAAGTCCGGGTACACCTGGCTAACAGCGAGACTCTGTGTCATAATAAAAAGAAAAACATTAAAAGCTGAGGGTGTAGTTTAGTTATATACAGTGCTTACCTAGAATGTTAGCGGCCATAGGTTCAATTCCCAACAACACACACACACACACACACACACACACACACACACACACACGCACACACACGAATTTACTAAGGACAGTATTAATATTGAGAAAGTGATAGTTATAAATGCGGAATGTGATAGTTATAAATGCGGAATGATGCCAAAGGCAATCACACTTTTTTCTCCCAGTCATTAAACATGATTTTCTTATTTTTCCTTTCTCGCCTTCTTTTTATCCCAAGCAGGAACAAAAAGTACTTCTCTTTCTCCTACCAGCAGAGGGCGATGGTGCCGTGCCAACCCAAGTCGCTCTGAGTCCACCGGGTTTTAATTGCCTTGAGCCAATCAGCTAAGATTGTCTCCACTGGGAATTCGTAGTCCACAACGTTGCTGAGCAACGGAAAAGTAAGCAGGGGTTTGCCTAAGCGCGCTAGTACGTCTGCCCGGGCGGAAGCGGAAGTGTCGGAGGCCGGCGACTAGGAAGTGGTGCTTCCTGGAGAGGAGATGGCCGCGCTGGCCCCGCTGCCGCCGCTCCCCGCGCAGTTTAAGAGCATACAGCATCATCTGAGGACAGCTCAGGAGCACGACAAGCGGGACCCGGTGGTGGCCTACTACTGTGAGTACTTCCGAGCCTCTCCTGCCCTTCCGCCGCGCTCACGCGCCGCCCTGCGGCCTTGGGGCCCGCCCCGCCCCCCTGGCTTGGGACCTGAGCCCTGACCTCGGGCCCGTCCTGGCATCGCCAGGGACCAGTCCCCGGAAAGCCGGAACCCCTGCGCCGCTGCCCCCGCCGCTCACGCCTCCGCGCCTCCGAACAGACTGCACGGGTTCCTGAACGCTCAGCACTGCTCCAGACCTCCTATGAGCGTCAACGCTGCTTGCTTTCTGGAAATGACCTGGATAGTCGGGGCATTGCAGTGAGATTAAAACCAAAGTGGGGGGTCGCAAAGATAGTGATGTGGGTGAGAAGAAGATAGGCTAATAGAAAACACAACCAAGTGCAGGTTAGTTATGACAGCTTGCAAGTCTGTCCCAAAACCTATACACGGTTCTGCTAAGTATCTGAATTTGACTCTAACCCAGTTTTGCATCCAAACTGCTCTTTCCCATCAATACCAATAAGAATTTTTAGTCTTCTTTCAGTCATTCCTGGTGTTTAATGTGAGATGTATAATCTACAGCTGATGGAAAAACAAGTTTTAGCTTAAAGGGAGTAGTGCGGATAGTTTTATAGAGACTTTATAAGTCTCATTTAAGAGTGAAGAAGTTCAGTATGGTATGTCCTCTATTGTGGATGTTGTAGGGTTAGCAAAATCCAGGTCCAGGTATCCCTGCCTTTCTCACATGTACCGCATTTCTCCAGTGTGCAGGATGGCCTCCTTTTTTTGAGATTTGCCAAGCTCCTCCTGATTTTAGGATGTAAACTCTTCTGGAGGCAGTGAAATGACTGTATTCTGACCTTCATTTTTGATATTACAGTGTTATTTCCACTATGTTTTAAGTTCCTCAAGCAAGTCCTAGTAATCTTTTATTCAGCCTCTAATTACTGAGCCTTTTATCTTGTCCCAAGCATTGCTAGGTACTGTGAAAACATTTCATATTCAGGGAACTTACATACAGTGGGATTTATTTACTTAGCTGATAATCATATGTTGAACAGTATTAGAAAGTAATGATGAAACTAGGTGGTTGAGATTTGCCAAGCTCCTCCTGATTTTAGGATGTAAACTCTTCTGGAGGCAGTGAAATGACTGTATTCTGACATTCATTTTTGATATTACAGTGTTATTTCCACTATGTTTTAAGTTCCTCAAGCAAGTCCTAGTAATCTTTTATTCAGCCTCTAATTACTGAGCCTTTTATCTTGTCCCAAGCATTGCTAGGTACTGTGAAAACATTTCATATTCAGGGAACTTACATACAGTGGGATTTATTTACTTAGCTGATAATCATATGTTGAACAGTATTAGAAAGTAATGATGAAAAACTAGGTGGCAAAGGGAATAGGTGGCAAAGGGAATAGGAGGAGTCCAAGGCCAATAGAAAAGAGTGAAAGTGTAAGGGGATTTCATTTTCAGAGCACACTTTCCTGAGTTGATGGTTGAAGCAGAGGGGCAAAGGTAGGAATCATGCACACTTGGAAAAGAATATTCTTTTTTAAAATTTTCATTTATTTGTATTCTTTATAGAAGGAATAGAACTCTGAAAGTCCAGAGAGGAGCTTACTAGAGAAGCAGGGATACCTCTGGAATAGCTGGAGCCCGGAGGGAAACTGATGGGATAATAACAAAGAAGCAATGTGTCAGAACCCTGGAAGAGGGCCCTTTGTTTCCCCCTGAAGCTAACCCTATTCAAGCACCATTCAGGCACCTTTGTGACTACCCTGGATCCTTGGTTCCCATGTCATTGTCCTCAGTCCTACCCTTTGTTTCTAAGCTTGTCACAGTTTCCTTTGTTTAAAAAAAAAAGCTATCACCATGACTGTCCCCTAAACTGAGTCCTCTCTGCTTAGCCTTGCAGGTAAATTTGGTAGTCCACAACTCCTTGACATCCTTTTTCGGTAGAAGCCATTCAGCCCATTGCAATCTAATTTTTATGCTGATTATTATTTCAGTGAAATACCTCTCCCTAGCATTATGAACTGGCGTTTTTATGATAAAGCCCACTTGGCTGTAATACAATTTTTGTTAGGAAGATGTGTATAAAGCATGTATAATGTCCATTCATAATGTCCATTCAGAGTTTAAGACTGATAAAATTAATTCTGATGAACTCGCATTTGATGTCATTAGACTTTTTAATTTTTGTCAATCTGGTGGATGTGCATGGTGGGTATCTCATTGGAGTGATAGTTGCAATTCTCTGAGTCTTAATGAGGTTCCTCATCTTTTCATATGTTAATTCACTACATGTGATCTCCTTTTGAAATTCCTGTTGCCCATCTTTCTATTGGCCTGTCTTTTCTTAACAATAGATAGAAATCCTTTGTTACATGTGCTGACAGTTTTTTTCTCCATGAAGTCCTTTCTCAAACTGCTTGATTTTAAACTATATAATTTTTCAGTCTCTGTGATGCATTCTAGTTTTCTAGCCCCTGATTTCTTTTGTGGACTTACTTGAGACTGAAAGTTTCTCAAGTATGTAGGTAGATATCTTTTATCAATTCTGGAAAATTATTATATAATCATTACTTCATCATTATCTCGTGAAATTTTTTATGCATATATTCTACTTTTCCCTTTTAACTTGTCTCTTGATTTTTCTATATTTTTCAGCTGTAAAATTCCTTGAGACCTGTCTTTGGTTCCATGTATCCTGTTACTTAACACATCTATTAATTTCTTCAGCTTTTATTTTCTATTTTTGAGTATTTTGTTTTGTGTTCAAGTCTTCATGGGCATTTCTGGTAGTTTCTTGTTATTGTTGATGCTGTTTTTTTATTACATTTTTTTCTTTCTCTCTCTCTCTCTCTCTCTCTCTCTCTCTCTCTCCCCCTCTCCCCTCTCCCTCTCTCTTCTCTCTTGTGTGTGTTTATGCCAGTTGCCATGGTATACTTGTAGAGGCAAGAGAACAACTTGAAGGAGTCAGTTCTCTCCTTCTACCATGTGAGTCTCAGGGATCAAACACTGATTGTCAGGCTTGGCAGTAAGCACCCTCTGGGCCCCTTCCTTCACCCATTGCTGATGTTTTAATTGAAAGTTTTAGAGCTTAGGGACAGGGGCTGAGGCCCTGAGGCAGATTGTCCTTTTGAGTAAGAGATTTATTAGAAGAGTTATTAATGCCATAGACAGGACGACAAGCACGGTGGGGAAACTGAGGCAAGTTCAGGCCCACATGGCAGAATGGAAGTCTCTTAAAAGTTTCAGAGGCAAGAGGTAGGTTCCATACCAGGTGATTGATAACTAGTCCATTGTGTACACTTGCAGTCAGGCTGTCTGAATCAGCTATGAGGGTGAGAGAACAAGAATCCAGAAAAGCAAGTTACTGTAGTTCTGAAAACCAAATTACTATAATCTCAGAATTCTCAAAGCTCAATAAAAATGGAGGCGTTGATACAACGTGCTGTGTGCCTGGCTAATGGCACGCATATTTCTTTGAACACTTTCAATGTTTTTATTTGTATTTGCTCTCTGATGAGGCCTACAGCTGCTATATTTGTGGATCTGACTGCTTACCGTGATTTCTTCCTTTGTAATTATACACTAGACATACTAAACCAGTACTTTTCAAACTGGAGTGTCCAAAGTCCTCTTCAGGCTCTTAACTAGTCAACTTCTTAGTTCACAACTTCCTTGACTTTTTTCTGAAAGTAGTCTCCCTGCATGGTCCTCTCATCAGGGTAGCACAGTAACATGTGACTTCTTTTTGTGTTAGACATTATTCATATTTGTCCTACTTCAACAAAGAAGTTGTGTTTCTCATGCATTTTCATGGTGTATTTCCCTGGAAGAGAAGTGAAAAATCTTCCAGTGTGTCCAGAAAAGAGAGTCCATCTTACTGGTGTCATGGGAGGGATTAGATAGCATTTCTTGTCTTTCCTAGTCTTCTATGGAAGAAAATCCACCAGAGCAAAAAACAAGCCTCTATTTCAGAATGCTGACCATGCGAGGTTCCAAAAGAACATTATAGTTTGGGGAAGAGGGTAGAACTTTGTATAACAGGGGTGCAGATGAAGAATGCAGGAAGTTACTTGGGGTTTGTCTTTTTTCAGGAATAGTCAGAAATGGATCTTTGGAGTTCAGAATGTTGTGTACCATGCATGTTCAAGGCTGAGTTCTCCAAATCACAGAAACAAAAAAGAGAGGGAAGAGAAGGGAGGAAAGAAAAAAGACTAGGTCTGAGGTATTAGCAGCCATCATTTTGGGTTTTTTCAAGGGGAGGAGACAGTTTGCAGGTCCAAGTCCTGTGATGGAGAGTGTTGAGAAGAGTTAATTATGGGGTCAAGGAGATGGATTTAAAGGGGCCACAAAGAGAAATTCTGTGTTTCAGAGCCTTAAATTTATACATACATTTGTTAAGGGTAATGCTTCGTGTTAAAATTTGCCATGTGTTACAGGGTTCCAATTCCCCAAAATAGCAAGGATTTTCATTAGATGGCCTTGTCTCCTTGTTGAGTGCTCATTGGTAAAGAATGGCATTCAGAGTTGAGAATAAATCAGAAAGCACACAAGAGAAATACTAATGGTGAAAGTGCCTTCTTCATCCAAGGGAAAAGCTGCAAAGCTCTGTGGCCCATTGGTGTCCTAGAATTATAATTCCAACATGAATAGTAACATTCTTTGGGGGGAGGCGGTAGCAAATTCAATTTATTTCCATGGTTTTTTATAGGTTTTGCCTCATGAGTTTGAAGTATTCTTCAGACAATAAAAAATTCTCTTCTTTTAATTCTTCCTCTTCATGGATTTAAGTAGTTGCCTTCAAAATGAACTGAGCATGTTAAATTTTACTCTTTTTAGCAACTGATTTTTTTCTTTTAATTTTTACAAAAACTTTATTGAGAATTTCATACATGCCTATAAGGTGTTTTGATCAAATCCATGCTCACTCCCTCCTCTCCAACATTCCCCCCCTCTGAAGAGGTAACCCTAAAATCTTTTAGGGGTTAGG